CCACGTGATAGTCTCTCCGACTGCCTACACAAGTGCTCAGTTTCCCGCCTCTCGGTGATTATTGACACATCTCAAGTACATCGACCCGTGTCTACTCTGAGGTCATGACCATGAAAACGAGACGCCTGTCGGTGCTGTGTCTGCTAGAAGAAGCGCTACAGCTGCGGCTAAGCGCGGCAAGTGTCTGGGTTCCATTGTTCCCTCTTCTGACTATCCAACATCAATGTTCAACGCCAGGTTTTCATGTAGCCAGCCCGCCACCTATAATTACCTGTGATATTATTTTTTGTGTGTGAATCAAAAGTGGCGGGAAAGCTCCACTTGTCGCCAACAGTAATTAGAGCAATTAGCGCAGCTTCGGCCCCAACGTGCTGGGCCAGAGAGCTGATTTTCTATCATTACAGCAAAATACAGCTTTTACAGGATGTTTTCTATCAGAAGTGAGTCTCGGGTGTGTTTGTTACAGTTGGTAATAACAGCCCAACAATGGCGAGACGCCAGCCCCTGGAACTAGATGTCAGATAGTGGGGTCGTCAACCGACAACTATGGGAAGCTATCGATCTGGCTGTGGGACACTGATGGCAGGGGACCAATGCTCAACACTGATGGCAGGGGATCAATGCTCAACACTGACATCAGGGGATCAATGCTCAACACTGACATCAGGGGATCAATGCTCAACACTGACGACAGGGATCAATGCTCAACACTGACGACAGGGATCAATGCTCAACACTGACATAAGGGGATCAATGCTCAACACTGACGACAGGGACCAATGCTCAACACTGATGGCAGGGGACCAATGCTCAACACTGACATCAGGGGATCAATGCTCAACACTGACATCAGGGGATCAATGCTCAACACTGACATCAGGGGATCAATGCTCAACACTGACGACAGGGATCAATGCTCAACACTGACGACAGGGATCAATGCTCAACACTGACATAAGGGGATCAATGCTCAACACTGACGACAGGGACCAATGCTCAACACTGACATCAGGGGATAAATGCTCAACTCTGACGACAGGAACCAATGCTCAACTCTGACGGAGGAGGGCTGAAAATTTCGTGTTGCTTGTTCTGTTTCACCTCAGAGAGGGAGGGAAGAGAGAGACAGAAAGAGGCCGGTGCATAAAGGGAGGGAAGAGAGAGACAGAGAAAAGGACAGGGTGCAGACAGAGAATAGTCAAACTAGTTGATGTCAGGAACTGATGACAGAGTCTATGGGCAATGATTTCGTGACCAGATGACAGAGTTTATGGGCAATGATGTCATTAACTGATGACATAGTTTATGGGCAATGATGTCATTAACTGATGACAGAGTTTATGGGCAATGATGTCATTAACTGATAACAGAGTTTATGGGCAATGATGTCATTAACTGATGACAGAGTCTATAGGTACTGATGTCATGAACAGATAACAGAGTTTATGCGCAATGATGTCATGAACTGTTGACAGATTAAGTGGTCAGTGTGGCAATCCTTGCTGGCGACAGCTGACTCATACCAATAACCAACAGACAACCAGAGCTCCCAGACAACCCATCATCCAGCAACAGACAGAGCTCCCAGACAACCCATCATCCAGCTACAACCAGAGCTTCCAGACAACCCATAATCCAGCTACAACCAGAGCTCCCAGACAACCCATCATCCAGCTACAACCAGAGCTCCCAGACAACCCATCATCCAGCTACAACCAGAGCTCCCAGACAACCCATCATCCAGCTACAACCAGAGCTCCCAGACAACCCATCATCCAGCTAACAATCAGAGCTGCCAGACAACCCATCATCCAGCTAACAACTAGAGCTCACAGACAACACATCATCCGGCTAACAACTAGAGCTCCCAGACAACCCATCATCTAGCTAACAACTAGAGCTGCCAGACAACCCATCATCCAGCTAACAACTAGAGCTCCCAGACAACCCATCATCCAGCTAACAACTAGAGCTGCCAGACAACCTATCATCCAGCTAACAACTAGAGCTCCCAGACAACCTATCATCCAGCCAACAGACAGAGCTGCCAGACAACCCATCATCTAGCTAACACCTAGAGCTCCCAGACAACCCATCATCCAGCCAACAGACAGAGCTGCCAGACAACCCATCATCCAGCTAACAACTAGAGCTGCCAGACAACCCATCATCCAGCCAACAGACAGAGCTGCCAGACAACCCCTCATCCAGCTAACAACTAGAGCTGCCAGACAACCCATCATCCAGCCAACAACCAGACAGAGCTCCCAGACAACCCATCATCCAGCTAACAACTAAAGCTGCCAGACAACCCATTATCCAGATGACAGACAGAGCTGCCAGACAACCCATCATCCAGCTAACAACTAGAGCTGCCAGACAACCCATCATCCAGCTAACAGACAGAGCTGCCAGACAACCCATCATCCAGCTAACAACTAGAGCTGCCAGACAACCCATCATCCAGCTGACAGACAGAGCTGCCAGACAACCCATCATCCAGCTAACAACTAGAGCTGCCAGACAACCAATCATCCAGCTAACAGACAGAGCTGCCTGACAACCCATTATCCAGCTAACAACTAGAGCTGCCAGACAACCCATAATCCAGCTTACAAATTGAGCTCCCAGACAACCCATCATCCAGCCAACAGACAGAGCTCCTAGACAGCCCATCATCCAGCTAACAACCAGAGCTGCCGGACAACCCATCATCCAGCCAACAACCAGACAGAGCTCCCAGACAACCCATCATCCAGCCAACAGACACAGCTCCCAGACAACCCATCATCCAGCCAACAGACAGAGCTCCCAGACAACCCATCATCCAGCCAACAACCAGACAGAGCTCCTAGACAACCCATCATCCAGCCAACAGACAGAGCTCCCAGACAACCCCTCATCCAGCCAACAGACAGAGCTCCCAGACAACACATCATCCGGCCAACAGACAGATTTGCCAGACAACCCATCATCCAGCCAACAACCAGACAGAGCTCCCAGACAAAACATCATCAAGCTAACAACTAGAGCTGCCAGACAACCCATCATCCCGCTAACAACTAGAGCTGCCAGACAACACATCATCCAGCCAACAACCAGAGCTCCCAGACAACAAATCATCCAGCCAACAACTAGAGCTGCCAGACAACCCATCATCCAGCTAACAACCAGAGCTCCCAGACAACCCATCATTCAGCCAACAGACAGAGCTTCCAGACAACCCATCATCCAGCTAACAACCAGAGCTCCCAGACAACCCATCATTCAGCCAACAGACAGAGCTTCCAGACAACCCATCATCCAGCTAACAACCAGACAGAGCTCCTAGACAACCCATTATCCAGCTAACAACTAGAGCTGCCAGACAACCCATCATCCAGCCAACAACCAGACAGAACTCCCAGACAACCCATCATCCAGCTAACAGACAGAGCTCCCAGACAACCCATCATCCAGCTAACAACAAGACAGAGCTACTAGACAACCCATCATCCAGCCAACAGACAGAGCTCCCAGACAACCCATCATCCAGCCAACAGACAGAGCTCCCAGACAACCCATCATCCAGCTAACAACCAGACAGAGCTACTAGACAACCCATCATCCAGCTAACAACCAGACAGAGCTACTAGACAACCCATCATCCAGCCAACAACCAGACAGAGCTCCCAGATAACCCATCATCCAGCCAACAGACAGAGCTGCCAGACAACCCATCATTCATCCAACAGACAGAGCTCCCAGACAACCCATCATCCAGCTACAATCAGAGCTCCTAGACAACCCATCATTCATCCAACAGACAGAGCTCCCAGACAACCCATCATCCAGCTACAATCAGAGCTCCCAGACAACCCATCATCCAGCTACAATCAGAGCTCCTAGACAACCCATCATCCAGTCTACAACTAGAGCTCCCAGACAACCCATCATCCAGCCAACAACTAGAGCTGCCAGACCACCCATCATCCAGCCAACAGACAGAGCTGCCAGACAACCCATCATCCAGCCAACAACCAGACAGAGCTCCTAGACAACCCATCATCCAGTCTACAACTAGAGCTCCCAGACAACCCATCATCCAGCCAACAACTAGAGCTGCCAGACAACCCATCATCCAGCCAACAGACAGAGCTGCCAGACAACCCATCATCCAGCCAACAGACAGAGTTGCCAGACAACCCATCATCCAGCCAACAGACAGAGCTGCCAGACAACCCATCATCCAGCCAACAGACAGAGCTGCCAGACAACCCATCATCCAGCCAACAGACAGAGCTGCCAGACAACCCATCATCCAGCCAACAGACATAGCTGCCAGACAACCCATTATCTAGCTAACAACCAGAGCTGCCAGACAACCGATCATCCAGCCAACAACCAGACAGAGCTCCCAGACAACCCATCATCCAGCCAACAGACAAAGCTGCCAGACAACCCATCATTCAGCCAACAGACAGAGCTCCCAGACAACCCATCATCCAGATAACAGACAGAGCTCCCAGACAACCCATCATCCGGCCAACAGACAAAGCTGCCAGACAACCCATCATTCAGCCAACAGACAGAGCTCCCAGACAACCCATCATCCAGATAACAGACAGAGCTCCCAGACAACCCATCATCCGGCCAACAGACAGATTTGCCAGACAACCCATCATCCAGCCAACAACCAGACAGAGCTCCTAGACAACCCATCATCCAGTCTACAACTAGAGCTCCCAGACAACCCATCATCCAGGCAACAGACAGAGCTCCCAGACAACCCATCATCTAGCCAACAGACAGAGCTGCCAGACAACCCATCATCCAGCCAACAGACAGAGCTCCCAGAAAACCCATCATCCAGCCAACAGACAGAGCCCCCAGACAACCCATTATCCAGCTAACAGCCAGAGCTCCTACACAAAACTTATACCTCCTGTAAACATTAATTAAAAAGCATAGTCGTGCCTAGGATAAACATTCAGTGAAAATGCAGTTCAACAAATCATAACATCGTACCTGTGCCATTGTCCATCTCTGTTTGGTCGTCTGCTGCTCCAGTATTTGCAGAACAGAGAGAGGACCTGGGAGGTTCCATACTGCCCATCTGTGTGGCCCTGGGAATGGCACATCTTTGCTTAATTGGGACCCCAGTATGTTGTCTTTGCTGGCACACAAGAGACGGTATCGGGGGAGGCAGGAGGGGGCAAGGCGAGGGGGGAGAGGAAGGGTTGGGGGCTGTCGTCTAACTGTATGGATGTGCGTCTGAGCGATTAGTGGCACCAAGAAAAATGTTTCTACGAGCACATCGATCCGTGGCGACTCTTTTTGATGACAGATCATCAACAGATCATCCTGACGTAATACAGGCTGTATTTGATATTGAATATTAGACTGTACATTCTGCTCAGTATATTAGGTTATGTAGGTCAGGTTCTGTAAATTAGGTTATGTATGTCAGGTTAAGTATATTATGTTCTGTATATTAGGTTATTATATATGTCTGTTTCTGTATATTAGATTAAGTATATTAGGTTCTGTATGTCAGTTTCTGTATGTCAGGTTCTGTATGTCACGTTCTGTATATTAGGCTCAGTATATCAGGTTGTGAATATCAGGTTCTGTTTAATAGGTTCTGTATGTCAGGTCTTGTATATTAGGTTTTGTATACTAGGTTCTGAGTACCTTTTAGACCAATACGAGCCATCATCTTAACATAAAGTAATTTCAGAGTGTCTATTATTATTATAGGAAACCTTAAAAAAATGATGCAACTGACGCGTCATATGATATAATGTCATGTTCTATATGTTCGGTTCTGTATGTGGGGTTATGTATCCTAATTTCTGCATGTCAGGTTATCTATGTCAGGTTCTGTTTGTCAGGTTCTGTATGTCAAGTTGTGTATATCAAGTTGTGTATGTAATGTTCTGTATGTCAGGCTCTGTATATCAGGTTCTGTATATCAGGTTTTGTATGTCAAGTTCTGTATATCAAGTTGTATATGTCATGTTCTGTATGTCAAGTTGTGTATGTCATGTTATGTATGTCATAATATATATACTTCGTTCTGTATGTCAAGTTATGAATGCCATGTTATGTATGTCAAGCTAAATGATCCACGTTTTATATGTAAAGTTGTGTACGTCAAGTTGTGTATGCCAGATTTCTGTGTGTCAAGTTGTGTATGCCAGGTTTCTGTGTGTCAAGTTGTGTATGCCATGTTTCTGTGTGTCAAGTTGTATATGCCAGGTTTCTGTGTGTCAAGTTGTATATGCCAGGTTTCTGTGTGTCAAGTTGTATATGTCATGTTTCTGTGTGTCAAGTTGTGTATGCCAGGTTTATGTGTGTCAAGTTGTATGTGCCAGGTTTCTGTGTGTCAAGTTGTATATGTCATGTTTCTGTGTGTCAAGTTGTATATGTCATGTTTCTGTGTGTCAAGTTGTGTGTGTCATGTTTCTGTGTGTCAAGTTGTATATGTCATGTTTCTGTATGTCAAGTTGTGTATGCCAGGTTTCTGTGTGTCAAGTTGTATATGTCATGTTTCCGTGTGTCAAGTTGTGTATGTCATGTTTCTGTGTGTCAAGTTCTGTATGCCAGGTTTCTGTATGTCAAGTTGTATATGTCATGTTTCTGTGTGTCAAGTTCTGTATGCCAGGTTTCTGTGTGTCAAGTTGTATGTGCCAGGTTTCTGTGTGTCAAGTTGTATATGTCATGTTTCTGTGTGTCAAGTTGTATATGTCATGTTTCTGTGTGTCAAGTTGTATATGTCATGTTTCTGTGTGTCAAGTTGTGTATGCCAGGTTTCTGTGTGTCAAGTTTTGTATGTCATGTTTCTGTGTGTCAAGTTGTGTATGCCAGGTTTCTGTGTGTTAAGTTGTATATGTCATGTTTCTGTGTGTCAAGTTGTATATGTCATGTTTCTGTGTGTCAAGTTGTATATGTCATGTTCTATATGTTACGTTTTTGTTCCACTTTTATCTCTTCAGTAGCCCTCTGACATCTAACCGTTTTGGTTGGATTCTTTCTGGCTACTTGCAGATACTCATAGACACTTGCAGACACTCATAGACACTTGCAGACATTCATAGACACTTGCAGACACTCATAGACACTTGCAGACACCCATAGACACTTGCAGACACTCATAGACACTTGCAGACACTCATAGACACTTGCAGACTCGCTTAGACACTTGCAGACTCTCATAGATTTCACAAGTAGCTAGAGCCGGATAATGCCGACCAGTGGGAGCATCCCTTCCGCCATCCTAACTGGACTCGTCGCGAGCGTGAAAGTCGTGGCAACCGACTCTAGACGAAAAAACTTGGAGTGAGAGCAGTCAAATGGAAACAAGACAAGTATTTGTCAACGAGAAGTGTCAAACTAGGAAATTCTGGCCACAAGGCGGATACTGTTGAGGAAAGAAATGTTAATTAGCCACGATGTTTGTTAGATGTTGCAGCAGAGGGTTGTCAAGTGGCAACAGCGAGCTCACAAGGCCCATTGACAATGTTATGCTGGCAACCACTGGTGCCTATTGTTGCCAGAAACTGTAGCTCCGTCATCGAAAAAAGGAAAATCCGGTTTGTGGATACAACGTTTGGGTTGCGATGTTTGCTGACACCCTCGGGTTGTCTCCACCTGCCAGATGTGACTGCTGCCGGCCACACTACAGGCAGCTTTAATTGGCAGTTGGGAGAATATGGCTGGAATATTTCTTATAGCCACCAGCAAATCGTCACTGTTATCATGTTGAATCTTGCAATCAGTTTTCTCCTTCTATCTCTTTTTATTAGTTTGTCTGTCTGTCTGTCTGTCTGTCTGTCTGTCTGTCTGTCTGTCTGTCTGTCTGTCTGTCTGTCTGTCTGTCTGTCTGTCTGTCTGTCTGTCTATCTATCATATCTCTTTGAAAAACAGTTTGTTCGTTCGTTCATTCTAATCTATCTATCTATCTATCTATCTATCTATCTATCTATCTATCTATCTATCTATCTATCTATCTATCTATCTATCTATCTATCTATCTATCTATCTATCTATCTATCTATCTATCTATCTATCTATCTATCTATCTATCTATCTATCTATCTATCTATCTATCTATCTATCTATCTATCTATCTATCTATCTATCTATCTATCTATCTATCTATCTATCTATCTATCTATCTATCTATCTATCTATCTATCTATCTATCTATCTATCTATCTATCTATCTATCTATCTATCTATCTATCTATCTATCTATCTATCTATCTATCTATCTATCTATCTATCTATCTATCTATCTATCTATCTATCTATCTATCTATCTATCTATCTATCTATCTATCTATCTAAAAATGCAACAGCCACCGCTTGGGAGGGAAAAAAGGTGGCCGTGCCTAGCGTCCATTTTGACCTGAAGCATTATATGAGGGTTAATAAACGGTCACCCCAGCAGTACCCTCATTATTAGCTGGGGAAGGGACTTAGGACATTACACCCACCAGCAGGCGTCGCCCCTACAACGACCTGCCTGCATTCGTTAACGACTGTTCACCCAACAGCCATGCAGTTCTTTGGCACGAAGGAGACACCTTGAACTTGGGTTTCGGACTGCCGACTCACTACAAGATGTTATTTTATGTTTTGTTATTACACTTGATGTCACTGCACTTTGGGCATACCCATGCGTGCTCAGTTCTCTGAAGCAGCAGCCACTCCAAAGTACTTCTACTAATTGTCCCCATGAGAGGCTGGTTATATCGTCTCCTTTCTCGACCTCGAAGACGGCAAAGACGTGCATCACCATGCTTAACTCCCATGTCACGCAATCGTGTTAGTGTCAGGGATTCCTGATTATCCACTAGCCCAGCCCGCACAGCGTTGACGATCTCTGCTCTGTCCATGCTTTTTCTCGCAATCTTTAGTGCAGTGCTTGCCAGTTGGTCCGCTCGCTCATTTCCCTTTACCCCCGCATGACCCGGTGTGTAGATCCAGATTACGGAGGTTAAGTTCGATTTCCGAATGCTTTCTATCCATTCAGAGCGCATACTGCCTGTTACTATCTTCTGAAGCATATTCATTGAGTCTGAGACAATTACTACCTGTGTGGCTGTTTGCTCGGATACCCATGCTAAAGCTCTAGAAGCAGCGACTATTTCCATTGTCATACTTGACGTGGATGTCTGATAAGCGTCGCTGTCCTCATGTATTGTTTTCCCCCTTCTTTGCGCTGTGTATGCCCATGCTGACCTTGATCCGCGCTTCACGGATCCATGCTTTTTCCCATAATCATTAGTGCAGTGATTGCCAGTTGGTCCACTCGCTCATTTCCAGATTGTCCACGATAAATGATCTGCCCCAATGTCGTAGTGCGATTTATTTGCTGACGATTGCACCATTGATACAAATGCTCACAGCTGTAATGGACTAGAGTTGTTTTGCAACAAGAAATAAACAATGTAGTAAGTTGGAGCAATGCAGACCGCATGCATATCAACGTAAGTAAGACAAAATATTTGTTAATGACAACAAACATCAACTACACTTTATAGTCACATAGAACCCTTCAACTCTACACCAGTAACACACCAGTAGAAAGTGTCACTGAGCACACAACTTTAGGACTCATCATCGATATAAATCTGATCTCAAACTCTACACCACTAACACACCAGTAGAAAGTGTCACTGAGCACACAACTTTAGGACTCATCATCGATATAAATCTGATCTCAAACTCTACACCAGTAACACACCAGTAGAAAGTGTCACTGAGCACACAACTTTAGGACTCATCATCGATATAAATCTGATCTCAAACTCTACACCAGTAACACGTCAGTAGAAAGTGTCACTGAGCACACAACTTTAGGACTCATCATCGATATAAATCTTATCTCAAACTGCCGTGTGCAAATACTTGTTAAGCAAACTGCTAAAAAACTTATACCAACTAGTAAAAATTAAACACTTTCTGGATGAAAAGCTAGGAATTTATTCTATACTTCTCATATTTAGAGCCACATAGACTATTGCTCCACAATATGGGATGGATGTGCAGACTCTTGCTCCACAATATGGGATGGGAGTACAAATGCAGTCATCAAACCACTGAAAGCACTCAAAATAAGGGTTGTGCATTT